TAAGAGTTTTAGCTTAATGGGGGAGTTTTCGTTTCAGGCGTGTTTGCGGGATATCACTCAGCCCCTCCTATCCCTCAAAAGGAGGATTCTTCTTAGTGACTTGCGTTTTTAGCGGAGCTCTCACGCGCGCATAGCGCGTGCAGCGGAGCACCAAGGGTAAGCAAATTTGGTTATCCATGCATCCAAGAAATTTTGGTTGTGAGAAAATCTCCCCTCTGACCGTATGTACGTCCACCCATTCATGTAAAGCGTGGTGAAATTTCGCGCTTAAAGCACTCGCGCGTTTCGGCAGTACATCGAATGGTCACCTGGACGTTTTAAGAGAAAGAAACAACAACAAAGGTCGAGTCTTTCTTTCGACTAAATTTTAATGTCTATGTTACAGGTCAAAATTAAATTCAGGTTAAAACCTAGGTTTAACCTCGGTTGATTCTCAATTCCTTTGTCTTCTAGTCCTAATCATTCATGAATTAGGGCTAGGAAACAAAGGAAATTGAGAATCAACCTAGGTTAAAAAATTTTAACCTGTAACATCTACATTAATGTGGGTAACGGAGAAAGAGCTAGAGACAGAGATAAAAAACATAGGAGACAAATTTCGCTAGAAGAGAAAATGAGAAGTCCTAGGGGCCACCGAGGTGGAAATGAGCGGCCGTAAAAAGAAAAAGCCAACAGGGATACATACGACAGTTGAAGAAGTTTCCAGAAGTTTCACTTTGTAGTCGTGCAAAATAACGGCAAAGAAATGTGCATTTGCAGCAAGTACAAGGCGCAAAGTTGCTTTTGCTTATAAGACCAATGGATGTTTTTGTCGACCTCGTTGCCTTCGCCATTGAGCAAAACACGATTTAGCCCTGATTAAATGTATATATTATTATATATAAGTTAATTGCTTTTATTATAAGTTTGTAAATGGAGGCTTCGCTTTTAGCCCTGGCTAAATCTACATATTATAGCAAGATGGTGCTAATAATTCTTTAAGATTTCTTAACCGTCAAAAAGATGGTACAATAGAATTAGAAGGAAAGCCCTTTCATTCTATGATCATTTTTTGATGATGCGACCCACATCGGGTAGGTTTGGATTAACAGATTATTGTAGTCACAAATGGAAATAATTTCTTCGTATTTTTTTTACTTGGTTAAGCAAGTCACTTTTGGAAACGGTAGTTTTTGTAAGCTTAAACATGGAAGTTTTTAAATTGATAAATTATCACTGAAAGGAAATATTATTAAACAAATAGATGTGGTTAACGGTCAACCTATGTCAGCATTGCCTTTTTTAAAATTGGCACAGGCTGCATCAAGTTTTCAGCATCGATTAGTGTCTGTGTAATTGATTATGTGCTTGATTAAATCATTAAGTATTGTAAGCACCTTTTTATTTACTTCTTATTAGGTTTACTTGGACAATGGAGCCCAGGTAAGAATTATAATTCAGTAAATTGCTTTATAACGTGATAGAATATTAATTCTACCAAAGGGCATTAGCCATTCACCCTTTACCATTGTATTTTCAAGATTGAAGAAGCAGTTTATCATTGGTGTGCTGTATTCATTCATTTGTGTTTCTAAAGATCAATACAAATTACCTTGTTGGATTGCTGCAATCTAAATTACTTTAAATATCACTATTGACAAGTGCAGTTATGTTTCACGTTTAGGACTCACTGCTTTCTCTACCCTTCTTCTTTGTCAGTGTTTCATTATTTTCAGTGGAGTGCAGCAGGAATTCCGCACCTATGTGCAGGCTAAATATCAATTTCAGGGATGTCACTAAAATTCAATTTGCCCGGTAAATACAACAAGTAGGCGGGGAATAAAACAGCTAAGGATTTCTTTTGGTTCTATTTTTCTTCTATTCCCCACCTCTTAATGACAGCCCTGAATTTATTGTTGAACAAGGCTAGATATGTACAATTATCCAGTTTAAGTATGGTGTTATTGGCTGAGGTGGTTAAAACCCACTGAGATATGCTGCAATGCATATTCTTCATATCATTTACGCTGTAAAATCCTGCCCAATAATTAGAATGGTTTACAGTAAAAGCCCACAAGTAAGAACCTGGTTTTTAAGAATCTGGTAGGCTAAAATTTGCCAGTTAGGCCCCCTCTATGCAAGAGCCTGTTTACCCTGAAATCTGAAACAGGTTCTTATCCTCTTTAGAGACATAGATGCCTTATTACCCCAACTGCAATGTTGTGGTATGCAGATTTTATGTAAGGAATAAGACAAATACCACTAAATAATCTTAGATACAATATACTTTTTCATCAGAAAATAAGAAACTATTTAAGAACCTATATAGCTTAAATTTTTGTAAGAACCTCTTTAGGCTAACTTGGGAAAATGCAGGTTTTTCCTTGCCGGTTTTTAATGTATGATTCATTGATAGTATTTCCTAACATCCATTTGTAAAATTATTACGAAACATTTGTCCATTTCTGGTCCGATTTAAATGCCAAGCATATTTCTTCATAACAAGCAAGTATTAGTCAAATGGAAGATGTGGAATAGATATTTTTTCTATCTGTGAATTTACAATTTATGTCAATCGTAAAATAGCACAAAAATTATTGGATGATGGCATCATGCATAGAGAGCCGTACAGTGACTAGTCGCTGGCGTCACACTGAATGGTCACCTCCTCACCCACATCGTAGTTGCGTGGAACAGGGTGGTCTGTCACTAGCCTCTTAATACTTTCAATGGCTTTATCATACTGTGGCTGCCAGCATCAAACTGCATTCTTGACAGTGAATCGGCAAAGAGGCTCTCTTACATCTGAGTTATAGGAATTTCGCAAGGTAGTTTACAGAAACCACGAAAAGTGCTGAAAACGTGTATTCCATCCGTTTTTGGCATTTCAATCACTGCTGTTACTCTCTGAGGATCTGGGCGGAGTCTGGCCAGTAGCTGTAAGCAGGTGTCCCATGCTAAGGATCTTATTTCGTGCGTAGCTTCAATTTTTGCTTGTTTAGCTTCAGATTGCACTCCTAGAGGCTTCTTTCCAGAATACTAGAATAGCTTCTGCTTCAGAGTCGCTCACGCCGTAAACAGGAATGTCATCAGTAATAACTTCCACTCCATGCAGGTCTTCAAGGACTTCATCCTGCAATAGTCGGAATGCCTCTGGTGCTTTGCATCACGCCAAAAGGCACATTAAAAACAAGCGATACCTCGCAAAAGGGGTCAAGAATGTTGTGAGATAGCTTCTTCTTGTTCAAGTGCAAGGTTAAGATCCTTAAGGGCTAATGCACATCCTCAATTTTCGTGATGGTTTCCATACAGCCACCATATGACTAATACAACCAGTGGGTGTAATAACTTTTTCAACACTTGCTTTTGCTTGAGTTCTGCAATCGTCTTCCTTAGTCCAGGCGTTGGAGGCATAGCCACTCTGAGTGGTGTTAACAGGTTTAACCCTCTTCTCCACTTTAATACAGTATTCACCAGGTAGACATCTCATGTCAGAGAAGACATCGTTGTAGTGTGTGCTAAAGAACTCAAGGTTTAAAGGACCGGACCTGGTGGCACTTGTGCTGCTGTAGGGACTGTTTGTGGACCTTTTTCCTTTACTTCTTCCTTTTTCCGGTGACTCTGTCACTGCGCTTAACTCTTAGCAAACCAAGTTATTCCCAAGTTAAGGCTTTTAGGGGCTTTTGATCCACTTTTCCCACGTGGAACGCAAGAAACCATCTCTTCCTTGGCGATAGCAATACAGCTTTCAGGCTCCCATGGGATGCATGACTGACATCATGGTACAGTCGTAGCTTGGAACCAGAGTTGAGCAGTTTAGGATCTCCAAATTTTACAGTACTCAGCATATCTAGCTAATGTGGTTACATGTGGAGCCACTGTCCATTTAACCGGATACACAACTAGGGTCTTCTCCTTCAATGCTTTAGTCAAGTGTAGCGAAACACTTTTTTCTTCGAGATTTCAATCTTCATCAGACTCATCAAATGAAGATTCTTTCAGATCCAGTTTGATAACATTTCCAGACACTTGTTTTTTCTGCAAACCTTAGCAAAGTGATACAGCTTCCTACAGTTGGAACAAGTACAGTGTGACACCAAATGTTGGACACTAGCTGCTTCCGTTTTTGGGGGTGTTTTCCACCACAGTATTTACAGGGACATGACGTTGTTTCTTTTTTCTCTTCCTTTCTTTTCCTTCTCCTTCTTCTCTTCTTGTTGTGCTTGATTTAAATTCTTTTATTTCACTGCTTGGACACATCTTCCTAGAGGTCAATTTTTGTTTTTTGAAGCATCCGAGCTTGAACACTTTAGTCTCTAATTTTAAGCACCAGTCTATCTCAAATCAAGTTGTTCTAGAGAGTGACAAACTTGCATGTTGATGCTAGTTGTGGAAGCTTTGTAGTGTACTGTGCAACCATTTATCCTTTGCTCTGCTGACAACTGTTGAATATAAAGCGTTCATAACTAGCATTTCTAGTCAGCTAAAAATGATCTGGCAAGGCAGTAAGAACGGGACCGATTTTTGGTTGATTGCTGTCTGCTGTCTTAATCTGCTTCAAAACTCGGAAACGCTTCTTTTCCATAACAGACAACAACATAGCTACTCGAATTTCCCGTCTTTTTATAGCTGGCAGCAACCTTATATTTTTCAAATTGTAAATGAAAAAATGTCAGCAGTGCTCAATACCTTGTTTCAGAAAGCATGCCATTTTTATAACACAACAAATATTGTTATGTTAATTATAAATACATTGAGGTCAGGGGAATGTGGCATAATTATTGTTGTAACAGCTGGAATTGTTCAGGAATTGACAAATATTTTGTATGAAAAATTTAATAAATTCGAAATGATTAATTATCTGATATTATTATATAGACACGAGTGTTTTACTGGAAAATATACCACTCGTAAAATTCATTTAAACTACATCCGGGACCCGAGTGGTTTATTTTCCATAATCTCACACGTGAGTTTATTGATGACGTAATTTAGGTCATTTCCCTCTATTATTTTATCGATGTCTCTTTGTCTATATCATAAAAAGAACATTACACGGCGGCTTGAAGATATGAATTTTATTTTCGAGTGGCAAAACAATATTTTACGAACGAGCGCAGCGAGTGAGTAAAATATTGTTTTTGCCACGAGCGCTACCGCACTACCGTGTAATATCCTCTATATAATTTAATTAATGTAATATCCGTTTAATATCCGTGTAATATCCTCTATATAAATTAATTTTTTTTGCTGACAGAATAGTCTACTCAGTTCTTGCACCACTTGCCAGCATGTCCTTTAAACATCTTTCAAGTCATTGCAGTAGGTGTAAAATAATTTTTAATCATGCATTTTGTAAATTTTTATAATTAGATCAAATCACCTCATGACAAGGGGATTTCCCAGTGTATAATGGAAAACAAGGCACCATGGTCAGATTCTTGGGACCTAAGCATTTCCAGTCCACTAATAAAGGACCCTTATGATGAGATACGCATTTCATACTTTGAAGACGTCAAAAAATATTCCCTTTACAGGTAACAAGATAAAGGTATTTTTCAAATTAATGTAACCAGCTTTAGCCCTTTGCAATTAGGCAGGCGTTGCTGTTTTGCCATGTAAAATTTGTATAGTCTTGTCTTACGATGAGTGGGCGATAATCAATGATCTTTTTCCAAAGGGATTATTTTGTTTGATCCGTCCATCTGCATGGGCATCCAAAAGTCTGCATTTTTGCAGTTTTATCTGATTTTCAGTGACCTTGAAAAACACATAAACAACGATGAATTTCGAGAATATCAAATGTAAACAAAACAGATTTATCAAATGGTTCTAAATTATTTGTTTATAAAAGTTAACCGAATTATTTACAAAAACAGCAGAAAGAGCACCTGAAAGCATGCTTTATCAAATCTCTTTGCGCAGCAGTCTGTTAAAACTATGCAGGGGTTATGTTTCTGAACTATCCCAATGATCTTCTCACACACGTTTTTGAATCTACCATGAGGTGAAACTTCCTTTGAAAATTGCTTCTTTTTCTATGGATTATTGCTGAACATCAGGATTGTCCAATTTTCACAGAATTTCTAACCATAAAAACTTCATCCCAAAACATTTTGCTTCAAACTTCACAAACAGTGAGGCAGCTATTAGAGGAACAAGCGCTCATAAATGATTTTGGAAAAAACATAATAACTAATAATAATTTAATTCTTACATTGCACAGGTATTCATAAAAATTGTCAAATGCGCATTACGTTAGTAATAAAAGCATGACAAAAAAAAACAAAACAAAACAAAACAAAAAACTACAAACCTATTTACCAAAAAAGCATGTGCTGGCAGGTAAGGCGCTCATACAGCTATCCCTCAGTGCTGAGAAATAATATGGGTGCAAATAAAATAGGTAATGACTTTGTCTCAATTCAGCACTGTCATGAGTCTTGAAGGTGAGAAATTGTGGATTTTCTCTGAAATAGTTCAACAATGTGATGATAATGTTGTACTTTTCCCACTACAAACCCTTTGTTATTCCCTGTTTTGCTCTACACTTCTTAAAGTGTGGAAGTGGAAAAAGTGAGAAAGTATGGGATAGTCTGACAATGTAAGGATGTTGCACTTTTTTCCACTACAAACCCCTATTTTGCTTTACACTTGTTGAGGTGTGGAAGTGTGCAACACAAAGTTGGTGTGATGTGGACGTGTTCTAACACCTTTGTCCTTGAGTCTGCAATCCTTTCCAAAATTTATGAATGGTCAATGGATAACTTCAGATAATATGACTATGATGATCAGAGTATGACCATATCATGCAAGCCTCTAGGTGCTCTACTTTGACGGCTATCAGTTGGCAGTGATAGATCGCTTATTAGTACTTAACGAAGGAACGCTATTATTGCGATTCTCATTTCCATGCGTGGGTTAGTATGACATTGTACACTTAATGTCAGATCCCGAGGGAAACAGTTAGTTTTGTTTTCCCGAGAGTCCTATATTTCCCGAGAAGAAGTCGAGGGAAACATCAGCACTCGAGACACTAGCTGCTGTTTTTCTTCTGGGAACTTCTGAGATAACTGGAAAAATCGTTGGTTTTTACCTTGAGGATTCATGTTTGCGTTGTTGTGTTCATTCACGAAAATGAAAACTGGCAGGACCTGGCAGTATTCTTCCCGCCTTCTGTCACGCCACTTTCCACCATGCTTTGATCACGTTCTGTAATGCAGCCCGAGCGGGGTACATTGCTTAATGTATCACGATCGGGATACATTTGATTTTAGTCAAGGCCACGTGACCAAGAATCAACCAATGGCAGTCCCTGTTTAGTTGAGTGAAAGTCTAGGAATATAACAATTCACATTGGTTTATGCGTGGAGAGGTGGAGTTACAGTTGCCATGAATGTGGTCACTTGATAACCCAAAATTGCTCGACCAGTAATTATATACTGGCTTTCTTATCCATAATGCTCCAGGCAAAGCAAGCTCCTTTAAAAATTAAATAGAGTATAGTGGACTGCGACATGCTTGAGAATGATATGTAAGGGTTTTTAAATGTTTTTTGGCTCTCTGTTCCTCTTCCTTACAATTTTTCTTTGGTTTCAAATTTCCTTGGAAACGTTAAATGCCATTATGCAAAGAAAAAGAACGTGTGGCTTACTTAAAGGAGCTGTGTCACGAAATTTATCAAAATTCAAACAGTTGGAACTGCCACCAAAGTGAATGAAACAGTGCTCAACAGATTACAAGAAGGTATTTATTTTTATTACCACAGCAAATAAAAAAGGAAGTACGGATGGACAATTGTGGTTTTTGAAAACTTGTTAGCCTAACAGTTTTTCTAAGTTCATTTTTTTGTATGTTACCTTTGACATATTGCTTGGCCTATTAGATTTTTGTTTAGCAGGAAGCCTTGCTTTTATAAGTCACAAGTTATTTCTCGAGTTCAATAAATTGGTCGGAGCATCTTAGCCATTTGTGCCATTCAAGCAGAAAGTTCTCGTCCCTCTTGGGATGCACTTTTTTTTTTTAATAAAGTTATTTTTAGTATAGCTTAACACAATTATTTATCTTCTACAGCATGTTATTCTAAATTTTACCATTCAAAGCAAAATAACAATTATACTGAAGCAATGATTCTTTTTCTCATTCAGAGAGGAGAATAGCAAAACCAAATTGAAGTATACATTCACTCCCATGCATGGTGTTGGACAGAGATTTGCTGAATTGGCATTTGAAGCTTTCAACTTACCTCCATTTGTGTCTGTCAGAGAGCAGGTGACTTCAGTAGCATCCTCATTACTTCATACCTCTCATCTGAACTGGCATTTTGATTGTTCATTACTGCGTGTGATCTGATAGAATACAGATACAGAGCTGGGCTGGGTTGTTCAAAGCTGTGTTAAGATAACCCACGGCTAGGGCAAAATTTGAATTCAGATATGAAAGCTTAAGAAGCAAATCCAGTTTAACCCCAAGTGTATGACTTGACAATTGGATGCTCTCTAATAGAGAAAATTATCCGAAAAAAAAGCTTTTGAACAAAGAAAAAGAAATCGTTATTGAAAATTTAACCTTGGGTTAGTGCCAATTAGCCTTCCAACAACTGGGCTCTGACGAATGACTTTTTATGCAATATGGTAGACAGTTGTTGTATTTGAAATTGGAAACAAGGAAAAGCTTGAGAGAAGCTCTTCATTAGTAAGAGAAAAATTCATAGGAAATTTGTAATTTCTAAGTGTTGACAAACCGCTGAAGTTAGAAAAATCTTTAAACTATCATGAATTTTTATTTCGAGGTATTTCACATAACTAGTAGTAAGAGTAAACATTAGTTTGTGGTAATTGAAACAATTTTATGGATAGTGTGTCTATCATACCATTAGCGATGGACAACAGCAAACCATGTTTTATTTTACTTGTTACTCTTTCGTCACGAATTTTTTTATGCCTGAGTCTTTTTAACTTTACTGTCTGCAGATGGTTCCAGACCCTGAGTTTCCAACTGTAAAATACCCCAATCCGGAGGAAGGAAAAAGTGCCCTGGTGAGTAGAGATAAATTTGTAATGGCGAACTTTATAATAATTAATAATAATTTTCGGGCGCAATCACAGACAAACATTCGAATGAGCCGTGGAACTGGTTTGTTTAGAGTAGCATCCCAGGGGCTCTGTCGCCCGTTCTCGAAAACATTCGTCGTCAATATTCCTGACCCAACTGACCGCCCCTGGGTCTCCAAGGATGGAGAAATTTATGCGTGCAGGAATATGTTTCGGTGAGAATCATTAGCATAATTACCCTTTCGCTGATGTCATCACGTGAAGATGATAGGGCGACCACTTTGTGTGGAGAAAGGTTAGAAGCCTCTGAGCTCGCACACTCAAGCTAAAAGCAACGCTGAGTAATCAACGAGCCACTCAGAGCAATACAGAGTAAAAAGCACCTTTGCACTTCTCACAGCAACTGTAAGTAGCGACTCCTGATTAATCAATTAGCAACTAATAGCAAAGCTGAGTACTGAATGAGCCTCTCAGAGCAACACATTGTAGAACGATTACCTTTGCGCATTTCATACCATTTCTAAGTAATCAATGAGCAGCTAATAGCAACGTAGAATAAGGTGTTTGGTGCGTTTTATAAGAACATGTTGCAATGAGCATGCGTGCTTTCCAATCTGAAAAAGATTTGTGTTTTGAGGTGGGGGGAGGAGGATGTGGAAAATTGTGCGTATCTCTGGAAAATCCTGGCTACGTCCGTGTGAAAGGTTACCAGACACGTCACTTGTCATTCTCTTTCATTACCACTGTTTCTAGCTTTTATGGGCATTGTCATTTGGTACCAGCATCTTTACAAACATCTTAATCTAGTATGATGATAACGTATTTCAGTGAAGATCGAGAGTCTTTGTGTAGGTGGTACCAGTATAGCCCTGATGCCATCAGTAAAAAATCTCGGATCCTGGTTAGATGGAAACTTGACTATGGTGACACATAAAGACGTTTTTTAAAGCCATGTCTTTCCATCTGTGTACAAAATAAGGAATATTAGAAAGTACCTTACCAGTGAGGCCACTTAGTCCCTTGCGGAGACTACTTGCAACAGCAGGCTCCTAAAATACAACTGCTACATCTATTGCTAAGATAAGTAGATACAGAATTGTGCGGCCTGGTTCGTCTTTTAAACGTCTGCACTGGCTTGCAGTTTCCAGGATTTAATACAAAATATTGATCCTAACTTTTAACAAAGGCACTTTATGCTGTCGCACCATCTTAAAATTATTTATAACTTTATCAAGATTACCTGTGATCGTGCAAGGAACTGTTGATAAAGGTACCAGGCGTAAAAACCAAGAAAACTCTCAGAGATAAATCTTCCCAAGTAGCAGCCCCTAGATCGTGGAATAAATTTCTCTCGGAAATTAAAGCAATTAGAAGTTATGATCTTTTGAAAGGAGCAATTTAGACGAACTTGTTCAAGAAAGCATTTGTATGTTACAGTTAGAGCCTCGGTTAGCATGACTTCTAGCGAATTGTAGTTTCAAATGTTAGCCTACAACAGTAATTGTTATTCTGTTCCTTCTCGGATTGCTTTGTTTGTTTGTTTCAGTATTTTTGGTTTGCGTAATTTTTTGTTATTTACAACTTGTACTCAGGACCTTGCCATGAATACTGCTAACGAGAGTAACTGTACTGTTATTCTGGCCAACGATCCTGACTCTGACAGAATGGCCCTTGCAGAGAAACAACCAAGGTGAGAGGAAAATTTAACACCTTTACTCCAAGCTTATTAACATGCGTCGAGCACGGCTTCTGTATCACATTTATATAAAGAATGACTCATTTTTGTATAAGAACATACGGTATCTAGTATCTAGAGTGTAGGTCCCAGTTGTTCAAAGGCCGGATAGTTCTATCCACTGGCTCAAACACTTTCCAGTAGGTAAGTAGGAGAGAAACTAATTATGGTATCCAGTGAAAAGAGATTTATACGCCACCTTTTAGACAACTAGGGACAATGCCCTTAAAAGCTCCCCATGCAGTGAACTGTACGAGCCATAACTTTTTCTGCCAACTGCTTTCAACCGCCTAATCTGCAGTCTTCAATGGTAAAGAGATTTAGAAATGAGAGAAACTCTTAAATAAGAGTTGTTTCAAAAGTTATTTGCGGATCCATTAACTTTGTAAGGATTTGCAATTTTGTAGATTTGATACTCTTCAATAATGATTTGTACAAAAAATGCGATTTGAAATAGTTTTTATGGATTTGCAAAATATTTTCGGATTATTCAGTTTCAGTTTATTGTTTTGCCATAAGTTGTACAAAAGCAAGGAAATCTAATTATTTAAACTCTCATGGCAAGGAAGCCCAAGAGAAGCCACCGGGCTTATAAGGAATGGGCTCCCTCAATTAAATAATACGAACAAAATATTACCATAATTACACTTGGAAAAATCAATGGCAGAGCTGCAGTAAATCTTAAAATATGTTAGATAGTCGTACTAATCATAGGCTAAAAAAGCGAAATTACAAAAAACAAAAAAACAAAATCAAAAAAAGGAATATTTACGATAAGAGGAATGCTTTCAGCTTACAGCAAAAGGAAGCGGTACTTGTTGCATTTCGAATTTCAAAAGTAAGAGAGTTAAAGCGAAAAGGCGAAGAAAGTGAAAAAGTTATTTGTGGATCCACTAATTTTCTTAGGATTTGTAATAGTTTGTTAGATTTGTCCAACTTTTCGACAGTGATTTGAGAAAAAATATTACTATTTGAAATATTTTGGGGGGGCTGCAAAATATTTTTGGATTGTCCCTTTTCAGCTTCCGTAGTTACTGATCAAGGGGTCGTTGAAATCATTTTCATGGTTATCAGACCAAACATGGACAAAAAATGATGGATAGCCCTATCCACGGGAAAAATGCGTCAGATTCCAGTATATTAGTATTAAGAAAACCAATTGTGTTATTCAGTGAAGAGTGATTTATTTTACTTGGTGGATAGTTTTATCCACCTTTTAAACAAATGTGGCCAGAGTCTTAAAAAAACTCAACCACAAACTGGACAAACCGTATCAACTTTTCAGCTTTTTGATAAGTGCGATAGTTTTTCTCTTAGCACATAACCGTAGGAGGAGAAAATCGTCAGCAATACCTCTCGGGAAAACGCTTTGAGACGAAAATGAAAAACTAAGTCAAAAGTTCGCTTTATTATGTTACTAAGTAGGAAAAAAACGGAACAAAATGTCAGTCCTGAACTATTCATAGCTAATAGTAACGTTGGTGTGGTATAAAAAAACTAGTCTCTATTCCAAAAAGAACAGTATAGTACACCTTGCTCCAAAATGGTAACAAATTTAGTAAGAGAGCTAATTAGCATAAGTATAAAAGAAAAGTACATTAATTCCATTACAGTGGAAGCTCTCGTAAGTGGACACCCTCGTGACGCGAAAAAGGTGTCCGTAACTGGAGATGGTCGCTTACAGGAATGTAAAAGTATTGACAGAGTTTGTAGGGGTGTTGAGAAGTACAGGG